CAATTGAAAGCAGCACAGCATTGAGCTGTTCGTGAGACAGGGACAGCCATTCTGCCCATCTGTTGTAAACATCATCCTTATATATTTTTTAAATTAGCTAACATAAGGAGGATCTGAAAATTGCATTTTAAATATAAGACATTAGAGTGGATTTTAATAGCTCTATTTAACATCATTGAAGTGAGTGACAACTTTCCACTATGTAAGACTGTTTTCCCATGAGCTCTTTCATTCATTATTCTTTTGAAGCCTGATACCCAATTTTTACTTTTCCATGACTTATGCAGTCCTGTAAACTTCATTTGCCGAAAGGTCTCAGCATTCATTTATTTTCATTGGAACTAAGTAGTGCCAGGCATTGTCACATTCTTTTCAGGAGATTTGACAGGTAGCAATCCCAAACCATTCAGAAAGATGTAGGATGCTGACACCTGTCGCATGGATGGAGCAAGATGACCACAGGCAGAACCTGGAGGGGTTTAACTCTCCGTGTGTGCCTAGCATGGATTGCTGGCATGCAGCTTCCATTCTCCTTCCAATTTATGGGAACCTTTCCTGCCTGGGCTTTTGCAAGATCTTGCTGCTAAAGTTGCTAAAATTATTTACTGAGCCTACTAATAATGTTTTCTATATTGAGGTCACATTGTCAGGTGCAAGAATGCATTAACAGGCTAGGCATGGGGGCTTACGCCTATAATCCCAGCACTTTGGGAGCCAAGGCAGGTGGATCTCTTGAGGCTAGGAATTTGAGACCAGCCTGGCCAACATGGCAAACTCCATCTCTACAAGAAATGAAAACAAAATTTAACTGGGCATGGTGGCACATGCCTGTAGTCCCAGCTACTGGGGAGGCTGAGGAATGAGAATCGCTTAAACCCAGGAAGTAGAGGTTGCAGTGAGCGGAGATTCCACCACTGCATTCCAGCCTGGGCAACAGAGCAAAACTGTGTCTCAATAAATAAATAAATGAATTAGTAAATAATGCAGTAAAAATAAAGCAGAGATAAAGAATACTTTAGGCATTTTAGTGGTTGGGGAGATGGATTTTCCTCTCATTCTCTAAGTTTTTGAAAATATGCTGATATCATTTGTATCATCATGAGTAAATAAACAAGTAATAAGCCTTACCAGCCTCACCTAGCCAAATAAAAGCATCTCTTTCTCTCATTAAAATTACAGTCAATTGGTAGATACAGACAAGAAAACAAATCACAGCACAAAATCATGGGTGTTTAGGTGGGAGAAGCACAGAGGATGCCTAATCCAGAGTTAGAGCTCCGCAGAGGGATACTAAGAGAAATCACTTCTAGGCTGAGAGCTGCACAATGGGAAGGAGATAAACAGGTAAAACAGGGAGACAGAAGATGCTTTTAGAAAAAGAGAATAGCATGTGGATTCTAGGTTTCAAAGCATGAAATGAATTACTGCCAATTTCTAGTTCAAGCTTTAATCGTTTCTTATCTTAATCATTCAGTGCTGTACCATCTTATGTATATACACACATTATATATACACACACATAATATATGCATATATATATTTGAGCATCTACTGTATGCCTATCATGTGTTTCCTTAGGAAGTATAGACAGGTAGATAAATGAAAGATGTAGATTAGATTAATTCTTGAATACCTGCAAGACATCAAAATATATTTTCTATTTACTACTTTTAAGTATGCTATGTTATATTTTGCATTCATTATTTCTGATCATCACACATGTAACCACCAAAAGAAACATGAAATGTAAATAGTGCCTCATTTTTTAGATGAGAAAAGTATGGCTGAGAAAGTATGGCTAAGGAGGTCAGATTGCAGGTAGGTGGCATTCTTGGTTTTCTACAAACCAGTACCAAGCTGCTGTCCCCTGCTCCCCAAATCTGAGCCCTACTCTGCTTCGTTTCACACACTGAAGAAGGCAAAACAATCCAGTGGCCAACAGGGTTGTGAATAGCACTTAAAATAACTTTCCGTGCAGTGGGAGTGTGTCACTCATGTGAGCATTTCTTTCAAATGTTAGGACAGGAGAAAAATAGGGAAGCACTGCTTCTCCATAACTACTTATGTTTCAGATACGCCCTCTGCTCTTTGAAATTCTAAAATGTATTTCCCACATTCATTTTTTTCAGGCAAAACATATAGCATAGAGCAAGTGCTAAGAAAATGTAGTAATATGAATTTTTATCTTTGAGTGCCTAAAAATATGCCAGGTACTTTTCAGTGCCCTCTATGTAATTTATATCATTAGTTTAAGTTAATGGAATTAATCAACTAATCCAATGGAAACTAATTAATCCAATGGAAACCCAGTGAAATAAGCACTATCATCCCATTTTACTGATGAGGAAATCAAGAATCAAAGACATTAAAAAATACTTTCTTAGGTTCCAGCTATCATGAAATAAAGGATATGGGGGTTTTTTTGTTTTTTTTTTTTTAAGAGAGATGGGATCTTTCTTTGATACCCAGGCTGCAGTTCAGTGGCACTGTCATAGCTCACTGCAGCCTTGAACTCCTGGACTCAAGTGATCCTCCCACCTCAGCCTCCTGAGTAGCTAGGACCACAGGTGCATGCCGCTGTACCCAGCTCCTCCATTGTATTAAGCTATTACAATAATTACAGTAATGGTGATAGTAAGAAGGATAGTGATGACAAGAGCTGTGAGTGTGTCATCTGCAGATTTTCTGGGGGCAAACCTCAGCCGTGACACTAATAGTGAACAAACTTAAATAAGCAGCTTAATCTTCATATGCTCAGTCTCCTCTAAAATGAGGGAAATAATAGAACTTGCTTTATATAGTTACTGTGGGAATTAAATGAGTTAATAGAGGTGGATCACTTTGAGCAGTGCCTGCACCTGCGTGTCAGTGTAGGTGTGGTTATTAACCCACAGGCCCATTTCAGATGTCACAGGATTTATTATAGCTTTTTCTAGATCCCCCTTTTCCCGTCCAGCACTTGCCCCAGCAGAGAGGCTTTTTTCCCGCTTGGCATTCCCTGACAGTCTAGTTTGTTCTCTTCCTAGAGAGCCATTCATGTGCTTGCTAGTATTATGGTCATTTAAATGATTTATCTTTTCTGGGGGTTGTTGGGGATGGAGTCTCTCTCTATCACCAGGGTAGAGTGCAGTAGCACGATCTTGGCTCATTGCAACCTCTGCCTCCTGAGTTCTAGCAATTCTCCTGCCTCAGTCTCCTGAGTAAATGGGATTACAGGTGTGCACCATCACGCCCAGCTAATTTTTTCTTTCTATTTTTAGTAGTGACAAGGCTTCACCATGTTGGTCAGGCTGCTCTCGAACTCCTGACCTCAGGTGATCCCCCTGCCTTAGCCTTCCAAAGTGCTGAGATTACAGGCGTGAGCCACNTTTTTTTTTTTTTTGTATTTTTAGTAGAGTCAGGGTTTCATGATGTTGGCCAGGATGATCTCGATCTCTTGACCTCTGTCCACCTCAGGCTCTCAAAGTGCTGGGATTACAGGCGTTCACCACTGTGTCTGGCCTAAATGGTTTATCTTTACTTATTCTTTGGGAACAGAGACTTTGTTTTGATTTATGTGTTGAAAGTGTGCTGGAATGAACTTGACAGAGCATTTATTAATTTCAATACTCCTGCTCCCTTGGATTACGCATAGGATTCCTATTAGAGTGCATAGTGTCTAAATCTGTGTTTTAAGGGGTAATGGTCTTCAGCCTTCCTTTCTAAAAGTCATGGTGTTAGTTTCCTGTTTAAGGCATTGTCCAAGTTAGATTATCCTCTGTTACACATATCTATAAGAAAACAAAATCTGGAAATGAAAACTCAGAAATCACTAGACTGAGTGGTAGTTGATATGCTAATTTTAACTCACGTGCTTCGTTACTGACTTCTGATTATTTATTCATGCTCAAGTTAAAGCTTAGTAGCTGCGAAGGTACTGCTGATTACCTGTGCCTCTCTTAAGACTCTGGAGCCTTAAGTCTTAAGAGCCTTAAGTCTCTGGAGTCTCTAAGACTCTGGAGGTTTCCTGTCTCTGTGGCTGTCTTCCTTCACTATTAGAGTGATAAGTGTTGATGGAAGATAACACAGCCCTAGCAGTTCCTTTTTCACATATGGTGTTTGTTTCTATTAACAAATTATGATATACCCATTTATCTTTTAAACAGTATTTCTGGAGATCTAACCAGTAAGCTTTAACCTAGAGCAAAACACTGAAGAAATGTAACCCGTTAATACAATGTGGCCCCTTCTCACTAGACTTTGCCACTTGCTATTACCAACCAAAACACACTCCCAGGTTTTATCAGTTTACGTATGCTATCAGTAAGTTTATATTCAGAAGTAAGTCCGTATATAGTATTCAGTGGCTTCTGAATTGCAATGATGCCTCTACACATTTAAACTTTTCCAGTAATTACATGTGAAAGCTTGCTGCTTCAGTCATTCCATACCTCTCTCAATTAAATTAGCTTGACATTAATTAATTGTTCTTATTTTCCCAGCCAGGGCATTTTCTGATCTATGTCCAGGTCTCTTTTAACTCCAGCAAAGCTTCTTTGTAACTCCCTTACCAACTAGAACAGAAAAGCCTCTCCATATGAGCCCTCATTGCTCAAATGAACAGAAGATCCAAAAAACACAATGTAACGGACGCTTTACCTCCCAGTTGGATGCCCATATCCCCGCACCTTTAATGCCCTTCATACTCCTCCTCATTTTCAGTCAACAGGTGGCAATGCCACTTTCCTTAGGTAAAATTAAAGTTATGCAGGGCTCTGGCAGATCTGCTTTTAACAACAAACACTTAGAAGAGATCGTCTTTAATAATTCCTTCAAAAGAAGATTATACCTTTGAATACAACTACTGGGGAAAAAATAAGTGAGTACCACCCTGATATTGGAAGTCCTCAGAGAAAGTGAGTTTGCTGGGAGTCATCACTGTGAACTGCATGATCCATAAATGTCACAAGAATCTTCAGTTGATGGGCCATCAGAATAAACACCTGATCTCACATTTTGCATAGATTCTGGCTGGCAGTGGAGGACCTGAAAAAAAGGCCTATTAAAGAAGTGCCCTCAAGAGTTCAGGAAATATGGCAAGAATTTCTGGCTCCGGGAGCCCCCAGTGCCATTAACTTGGATTCAAAGAGTTATGACAAAACCACACAGAACGTGAAGGAACCTGGACGATACACGTTTGAAGATGCTCAGGTGGGTGCATGGTGGGCCTCACATCACAAACGTGCTTCTGAGAAGTTGATAGTTCGATATATTCATTTTATTTTCATTATAAATGGCAGCTGTTTCTAAGATTTTCAATTTAAATAACTGTAAAATAACTCTCACTGATCTAGGAAGGAACAAAGACATAGTTTTTTAAATAGTTTTTAAAGGCTGGGAATATTTTCTTTTACTTTTTCTTTTTTTTGAGACAGAGTCTCACTGTGTCACCAGGCTGGAGTGCAGTGGCACGATCTCTGCTCACTGCAACCTCCGCCTCCTGGATTCAAACGATTCTCTTGCCTCAGCCTCCCGAGTAGCTGGGATTACAGGTATGGGCCACCATGTCCAGCTAATTTTTGTATTTTTAGTAGAGACCGGGTTTCACCATGTTGGCCAGGATGATCTCGATCTCTGGACCTCGTGATCTGCCCGCCTCGGCCTCCCAAAGTGCTGGGATTGCAGGTGTGAGCCACTGTACCCAGCTAAGCCTGGGAATATTTTCTAAGTTTGAATATTTTTATGTGAAGGGGCATATATGAAATATTTGAAAACTTTTACTTCATTTTCTACTCTGTTTGTCCCCCAATAAGTGAGCAAACACTATCTAATGATGACCCCATCTAAGTAAAAAAAAAATTTTAATATTTTTTTTAAAGATTTATCATCTTTAAGGCATCTTCAATATAGAGATCCTAAGACTCTGACATTCCTAATTATTCATTATTATAAATTATTCAAACTGTATTAGTTTAAACTTTTGTCAAACTCAACCCAGTTTTGTCTGTGGTGAAAAAATCAAATTGTAAATTCTGATGTTTATTAATTTTTCAAGTTAATTATTTAGCCTACAGAAAGAAAAAAAAAGAAAACTGATTCTAACTTCCTAAGACAAAGTTTTAGTAATCTTTTCTCAAACTGGATCTTAATTCCCTCTGTAGAAACAACTTGAATTTCTGCTTTCTCTCAAAAAATATTGATACTCAAGAAGAAAAATAAACTTGTAATGAGGGAATAGTGTTTCCTAATAATGTGGTTTTTTAAATATATATTTTATTTTATTTTTGGAAACAGGGTCTCTCTTTGTTACCCAGGCTGCAGTATAGTGGCATGATCGTGGCTCACTGTAGCCACGACCTCCTAGGCTAAAACAATCCTCCCACCTCAGTCTCCCAAGTAGCTGGGACCACAGGCATGCACCACCATGCCTGGCTAATTTTTTTATATGTTTTGTAGAGACAAGGTGGGTCTCCCTATGTTGCCCAGGCTGGTCTCCAGCTGCTGGGCTCAAGCAGTCCTCCCACCTTAGCCTCTCAAAGTGTTGGAATTGCAGGCATGAGTCACTGTACCCTCTCCCTAATGATGTGTCGAAGTTGGTTTTTAAATCAGAACCTGCATACTTTATAATTTCTTAAACTTCTTTTGGAGAAGAATATTAATTCTAAAAAGTACCTTTAAAAAACACACACACACATTACTAAAATAAAATACAGATGACGAAGAGTGAGATACACAAATATCCTTTCTTATTTCCACTCTCTGTAGAAAATATATTTCCCCTTGGCTTTCATTTAAAAAAAATCAGCAACTGTGTAGAAAACTAACATGGATTTTAACAGCTAACTGGATACCTATCACATGTGGTTCAGCCGTGGTCTCCGATGTAGAAATAATTACACTCTGGAGAGACACATGACAGAGAGCAGGCCAGAAATTCTGGCCCTATTGCTCACTTCTCTGCTGATTTTTCTTTCCTTCAGTCCAAGATAAAATGTCAAGCATCTTTGTAGAGCCAGCAATGTGTAAAATGTTTGGAATGTCCTTCCTGAGATTTAAAAAAGAACTTTTTTTTTTTTTTTTTGGTTATCAGTGTCATTTAAAAATATTCTTGCCTAATAGGATCCTCTTTTCTTAAAGAAAAAATAATATTATCTATAGAAAACATTACCACTCGGCCCTAGATTTTTCAGTTAAGCTCAGATATTTAATTCTAGTTTGTGTGTGTGTGTGTGGTTTTAAAAGAAATCCTATCTTAAGGTAAATTGCCTGGGTTCTGATTTCAGCTTTGCTCTGCGACCACTTCTCCATGCCTCAAAATTTCTTCATCTTGTAAAATGGACGCAATGGTTACCAATCCCATAGACGCTGTGTAAGGGTTAAATTACCTAATATCGAAAAGCACTTAAAAAGAGTACCTGCCGTATACCCAAGTATATTTGAGCACTTGCTATGCACCCCCATGCTTCGCTACACATTTATTATTCCTTTAATCATCACAACAATACTATTTTTTAGATTAGAAAATTAAGGATCAGAGAGATGAAAATTGGCCTAAATGTATTCTATTTGTAAGTGGTAGTTCTTGAGCAAGGTAGGATCTGAATCTTAGAATGCTTAACTCCAAAGTCAGCCATTTGCCTACTTTTCAAACAAATTCCCATATAGTTCCAAACTTAAAAAATTTTTGAAGATTCACCCTTGGGCTAGGTCTTGAGACTTAATCCTGAATGTCTTTAAATAGATTTAGAGTAACTTCAAATGATTGCTGTTATGTTTAAGACCAGAGAACTGGAGTCATTTTTTAAAACCTATTTTCTAGGGCCAGGAGCAGTGGCTCACGCCTGTAATCCCAGTACTTTGGGAGGCTGAAGCAGGTGGATCACCTGAGGTCAGGTGTTCAAGACCAGGCAGGCCAACATGGTGAAGCCCCTGTCTCTACTAAAAATACAAAAATTAGCCAGGAATGCTGGCCAGTGCCTGTAATCCCAGCTACTCAGGAAGCTTAAGCAGGAGAATTGCTCGAACCTGGGAGCTGGCGGTTGCAATGAGCCAAGATCATGCCACTACACTCCAGGCTGGCAGCAGAACAAGACTTTGTCTCAAAAAAAAAGAAAAAAAAACATATATTTTCTTCAAGCAACAACAACAAAAAAAATTGGGACATCCAGAATACTCTCCAATAGTTTGAAGCTCTACACCTAACTGATATTTCACTAGACTAGGAAGATCAAGGCACATGTAAGCTTCCTGAGCTTCAGTAGACGAGAGTAGAATCTCCCTAGATTGGGTCAAGATTGAATTGAATGAGTACCTTTTTTCTTTCTTTGACTTCTTTATCTACCAAAATTCATCATCAAAACAGAATTTTGCAAACTTCTTAGGGGTGAATGATCCAATATTTACCTAAGGTGTCACTGAATAAGTAATAAAAAAGAGCACACAGATTTGGAGATTTAGCAATTAAATGTCACAAAATTTATTTTGGGACTTGTGCTCTGACCCAAAGTGGGTGTGGAAGACAATTTTCCATGCAATTTTGTACCAAAGAGATGATTTGATTCATCTGGGCAGTTGGCACCCTCCCAGTAAATATAGAGGCCAAAGGCATCCGGGATGATTACTCAGTCTGACTTCACATTACCCACTTCAGGCCTAGAGTAATTTTAAGAGACAGTGAATTTAGTTATATTCTCTAGTGATCTATATAAGTCAGTAACTTGATCTGAAGTTATTTTACAACATCTTGTTAACCAAATTCCTTTTTTTTTTTTTTGAGACGGAGTTTCGCTCTTGTTACCCAGGCTGGAGTGCAATGGCGCGATCTCGGCTCACCGCAACCTCCGCCTCCTGGGTTCAGGCAATTCTCCTGCCTCAGCCTCCTGAGTAGCTGGGATTACAGGCACGCGCCACCATGCCCAGCTAATGTTTTTTGTATTTTTAGTAGAGACGGGGTTTCACCTTGTTGACCGGGATGGTCTCGATCTCTTGACCTCGTGATCCACCCGCCTCAGCCTCCCAAAGTGCTGGGATTACAGGCTTGAGCCACCGCGCCCGGCCTCCAAATTCCTTTTTTTTAATGACCGGATGTGATTTCCTTCCTCAGTAGCTCCTAAACCAATTTAAACAATGATCCATGAATGAGATAATGAATTTGAAGATCTAAATGTCCTGTAAACAGAAGGTATTCTAACCAACATTGTTATTACTGTTACTGTTTTTGTGCTGCTACTAGATTTGGTCTCTATTATTACTTTTCCCAAGAAATACTAAAGAAGCACCTCAACCATTATTTCTTTTTAGGAGCACATTTACAAACTGATGAAAAGTGATTCATACCCACGTTTTATAAGATCCAGTGCCTATCAGGAGCTTCTACAGGCAAAGAAAAAGGTATTGTTTTTTTGTGAGTTGTTTTCTCTTGACCTAGTTCTCAGTTATAATTATTTGGAGTAATTACCTCTGCTGAATCCAGAGTATTGGACTAATGGTAAGTGAACATACTCCAAGACCCTCCCCCAAACCTTTGCATTTTATAAGGGCTATTTAAGTTGTTTTTGTTTGTTTATTGTTTACTGTATTACTTTCTGTTTGTTTGTTTCTGCAGATGTTCATGCTTTGCAAAATTTATTAGAAGCTTGTTTTCATGTTTCATGTTAGTCTTCTGTATGCCTAGTTTCATGGAATCAAAATTAAAAAAAAAAAAAAAAGAAAGTAACAATGTCATTAGGTCGAAAACTTGAAGAGGGGTTTCTTTGTTTAGTAAGCTAGAAGGTATGTTTTGAACCACAGACCTCATAACTGAAAGTAGACTCACCTTTTTCAATAATAGATGACAAAATATAGGAATGTTTGCTTCTGAATATTTTCATTTGGCATTTATCCTGAATCACTTAATATCCCTGAGATGAATTTTAAACACCTAGAATGGTAGCCAAGCAGATTATAGGAGCATTGTAGTAGACCTCATTATTCAATAATGTTAATAATCAATGTCTCTCTTGTTCATAACTCCTTAGGTAGTCAATAGAACAGGGAAGAGAAAATCTGGACATCAGTATCAACATCATTATTTTTTATCTTAAAATAGTTCATACCTTCTTGAAATTCTGAGTTTAAATTGTAATTTTGTGTAATTCATGATTATCATGCAGGCTAGTAAGATTTTTAAAAGCCTTTACAACTGGCAATGGATGCTTTGTAGTAACACCATCCACTACAGCAGTCACTAGCCACATGAGACTGCTTACATCTTAGTTAATTAAAATTATATAAAGTTCCAGCCAAATTTCAAGTGCTCAATAACCACAGCTAGACGCTTCTGTATTGGACAGCATAGAATGAAATTTCCATCCTTTTGGAAAGTTCTATTAGACATTAATACTCTATAGAATTATGTTGTCAACAGAAATTTTTTTCTGATAAAAGTTTTGAGGATACTCTGAGGATATGCTGCCAGACTTTTAAGTATTTAGGCTTTGCAAATGTCACTATAAAGGCTTCACATATTTACTTCATTTCGGCTTAATTTGATTTTGCTTGAATCACTCCATTTCGTTTGTACAAGGAAAGTATCTGGTGTTAGCACTAATGAAAGCAGAGCCCCATGTCCTTTGAGAAGAAGTCTCCCTTGGTGGCTCTCCCACCTCCGTGCGCACTCTGATTTAGAACATGGATTTGGTGTTGCATCATTTCATTATCCTGTCTTTTTCTGCTGTTTTCCTTGCTTTCTTTTTTTGTTTTCAACCTTCCCTTATTTCCCTTCACCCTATCCTACCCCACATACGTTAAGTCTGGAAACTCTATGGATCGCAGAACATCTTTTGAAAAATTTGCACAGAATGTGGTAAGTTTTATTTTTTTGAGGAATTATGAATCATTAAGTCCAATGAAATTTTTTCAATTTCCCTATTTCTAGCCCTGATGCCCACCTTGATTTCTTGATAACAGCAAAAGTGTTTCTTTTATTCAAATTCAGAACTTCCTGTTTCCTGCTTAACTTTCTGTCCCATCCCCTTCCAGAGTAGAAAAAGATGTTATATGAGAACAAGTATCTGTACAGAACTAAAGTTTGGAAGGAAGTTTATATTACGATATATAAAAGGAAGGAATAATAATTATTCTTTATATTTTTATTTTTATTCCTTATATTCCTTTCTTTATGAAAAATAGTGCATGCATTTCTATGCTCTTTCCCTTAGCCCTTCCTGAGACTTAAAAGATTAAGAACAGTGAGAGTTGTGTGCTTTTTCCTTCTGCAGAGAAAAAATGATTTACCAAGCAGTTTAAAGTTAAAGATTTTATGAGTGGTGGTTGGTGAAAAGATATGCCCCACCAAAGACCCACTAGCCTGCCTTTCTTATTCCTTATTTTTCAGGAAGGTGCTGAAAACTTTGCATAAATCACCCGAGAAAACAGTAGTTTTCTCTACCTGTGTTTTCTCAGTATCTTGCCATGTGTTCTGATGATATATATTTGTTTGTAAGATTCTTTTTTTTTTTTTGTATTGTGCCAGTACCTTTGGAACTTTCTGACATTGTGTAAGCTCAAACTAAAGCCTTCAACACATTTATTTTTATAGGGCAGAAACATCCCTATTTTCCCATGCCATAAAAACTGTACACCAACACTGAGGGCCAGCACTAACCTGTTATGAAAAGAGGTAGAAAAATCTTGGTTTATACTCAAGTTTGTCTGCATTGTCTGTTGAGCTGTGTGGTTAGCTCCATGCTGCTGTATGTGTGTGTTGTGGCTTTTGCTGTGATGGCCAGTTCAGTGGAGTTATGTGTGTGGAAATGTGAGCCAACTGGATTCAACAAAGATATGGCTTTTGTTTCCTTCAAGGATCCTTGTGGTGGGAATGTTATTCAGTTCTACTTGTGAATTATCATTGCAACAGTACACAGAGTATTTGAAAGAACAGTATATATTCCTGTGAACACTATCTATTCCTATGAATATTCAATGTGGTTGCATCAATTAAAGGGATGGAGAATGACAGACTCCAGGAATTAATCACATTGTATACGAAATTTTGGTTGGCACTATTGGAACCTCTGTTCTTTAATATAGAATTTTCTGAAGCATGCCTCATAAGCCACCGTGGGGTAATAAGGACAATGTCAAAAAATTCTCAAAGATTTTGCTGGAGAAAGTGACTATCAGATATTGTAAGGTACTCTGTGTATTGTTTAAGAAGCATTTCGAATTAATCCTTTTCAAACATAATGCTGACAGAATGTGTGGTCTCGAAATTCTAATGGAAATTTCTGTGATATAATTTAAAATAGTGATGTAAGCTGGGGAAGAAGGAAAGGGGAAGTCAAATGGTTGTCTTTCTTCCAACGTCATATCTAACCCACTTGTCAGACTCTTAAAATAGCACCATATGGTCTCACACTGCAAACTTTAAGAAACAACCAATAGGAAATAAAGGGAAGGGAGGACTGCTCATCCACACCTTCACTCAAAATTCACACAAATGCCACCTCTATTCTAAAACGTGGGCTATGTCTTGGGACCATGTAGAAAGCATAGACTGGCAGCCATGTCCAACCCTTTGAATGCAAGGACTTTTTTGCTTATCTGTGGTGGTGGATATTATAAAAATTACGCACAGACCTTTTTTTTAAGATTATCAGCTATCATTAGTGTCAGTATATGTTATGTGTGGTCCAAGATAATTCTTCTTGCAATGTGGCCTAGGAAAGCCAAAAGGTTGGACATCCAGGGTAGAGCTGGATTGCAACCCAGTGGTATAAACAAAATGTTAGGATGTACAAGGGGAAAAAAAACAATTTCTATTGGGTGTTAGGGTGATGAGGGAGGGCCAGTATGTAATCTGAGAATTCCCGGAAGTAATATTTAACTGGATTTGTAGAATTTCAGTAGACCAAAAAGAGCAACCACCTTCTTAAAGAGAGGTTAAAAAAAAAATGGAATTATTGAAGGAAAACAAGTACCTTCCATACACACACACACACACACACACACACGCCACAATAATAATTTTCAGATTTTCAGACACTGTTGTTTAGTGTGAATCCTTTTCCATCCAGAAAAATAAAATGTGATCTTTGTTATTTAGTACCTTTATTTGGGTGTTATTTTGAATAAATGGAGTAAGGAAATTAGAAAAGGTCTCTGAATTTCCCCATGGTTTAATGTTCCATATTTTATAACTTAAGGATCAGCAGCTGTATCAAGCATCTTAGGTCTTCACATCCTAAATTTTATGAGGCATCTTTATAGGTTCAATAAAATGATTTAACATAAGATAAAGAATGAGTGATTTTTATCATAATCAGATAGACTTAATGGAGTAAAGACAGAATTTATGTAAAGATTTTAAAGGAATCTTCTACACAGGTTGCTCTGGTACATACACGGAGGCTACATGGTCAACAGTATCCAAGAAATAAATGGAATTTCTTAAATTTCCTAAACAAGTATGTAGTCTAGGAAAATAATGTGGGAAAATGAGTCAACAACTCACATTCTTTGAGTATCTGCCATGTACCGGGCTCTGCACTGGGCACTTATAGTATTATCTAATTTAATTTAATCCATATGCTGACTCTGTAAGGTAGGTATTATTATGCCCATGATTTTCCCCATTTTATAGGTAAAAAATTTGAAAAGTCAAAGGAGGTGCATAATTTTTTCAGAGGCACATAGTTAGTGAAGGAGCCGGGACTGACTCCAAATGTATTTTGTTCCCTGATGCTATTTCCAAGGATCCACCCTGCTCTTTGACATTCTCACAACTGACAAAAAATAAATAAATCTTGACACCTGATGACACCCTCCTCCCCAGTCGGAATCCATTTCCAATTCGTGCCTATTTTAGTAAGTTGATTTACATGTTCCAGACTAGGGTTTTTATAACCGAGGTTAGAAAAATGGCATTGTTTTTGTTTCACCCCAGAGACAAAAATATTTTGCTAGTCAGCCATTCCAGGGAGGTTTTGTTAGTTACCCAGACTCATAAACACATACTGGTACTTTAGAGAAAAATTATAATAAACATCTGAGGATTGCATTGCACTTTCACTCGTCCAAAAAATATGGCTTCCTTTTTGTTTGTTTTGTTGTTGTTTTGGTCATCGTTCACATGCACAACAATCCCGGGAGGTGGTCAGGCAGGTGTCACCTCCTTTTCACAGACAGAAAAATGGGGGAATGGTGAGAGGAGCTCACCTTTGCCGTGTCTCAGCTGTTGAGTGTTACAGCCGGAACCGGAAGCAAGCTTTGTTTTTTTACTTTAAATCCATTACTCTTTATAGATTACTCTCATTCTTTTCATTAATCCTAAAATGGGTAGGATAAAAAGAACTCACATTTGTGTAATGCCCACATTGTGATTTGCTGTCTCAAGAAAGCTCCTTTTCATTTCTTGTTGTTTACTCTCTTATTTCTTTATTTTTCTTGCTGTCAGAGAAGTCTCTTAAGGTTGGTGTTTCAAGGGTTACTCTGTCCTTTCATACCTTTAAATGTTATTTTTATTAAGTTGACTTTATTCTCTTTCAATAAAGTTCATAGGCTTTAAGAATTATGAAAATTATTTTCTTCATCACCATCATCAAATCTGACACCACTTTTTCAACCATTAAAATATCGTAGCATCTGCTGGGTGAGGTGGCTCACACTTGTCATCCCAGCTCTTTGGGAGGCCAAGGCCAGTGGATCACCTGAGATCAGGAGTTCTAGACCAGCCTGGCCAATATAGTGAAACCCCATCTCTACTACAAATACAAAAATGAGCCAGGTGTGATGGTGCATGCCTGTAATCCCAGCTACTCAGGAGGCTGAGGCAGGAGAATTGCTTGAACCCCGGAAGCAGAGTTTACAGTGAGCCAAGATCGCACCATTGCACTCCATCCTGGGCACCAAAATGAAACTCTGCCTCAAAAATAGGATAAGAAAAGATGATAAGAAAAACCATAACATCTGTCTGCTACACAGACATTAAAGAGGGACAGATAGGAAACAAGGGAAAACAGGATAGGATGACTGATTAGCCACACCTTCAATCAAGATTCATAATCAATGCCAACCATATGTGACTCACCTCCTGTCTTTACTTTGTGTGAAGTGGAAATTACATCAGCCTGACTCTGGGCTACAAAAGTCGTAAAGTGAAAATGAATATTAGGGAGTATTAATGTTGAATGCCTAGGGGTTCACCTAATCTAATCTCTGTTGGGAAATATTTTCACCCTCTCCTAATGAAGACAATTATCTGTAGAGGCTTTAAAAGAATCAATAGAAAAAAGATGATGCCTCCTTGCCCGTCCCATCCCCTCTGTCCTGGTGTATGGGTGCTAGTGCACTGAGCTACTAACTGTGCACTGGAGACTGCAGGGAATGACAAGAAACGGTGGCAACTCCGTGAGAGAAATTTAACAGGAGTGGGTCGACTCTGAAGTCAGTTGATCTTTAGGATCAAATCTGTTTTGTTGTTGTTGAGACACAGTTTCACTCGTCACCCAGGCTGCAGTGCAGTGGTTCAATCTTGGCTCACTGCAATATCCACCTCCCTAGTTCAAGCAATTCTCTGGCCTCGGCCTCCTGAGTAGCTGGGACTACAGACACTCACCAACACACTCGGCTCATTTTTTGTGTTTTTAGTTGAGACGAGGTTTCATCATGTTGGCCAGGGTTGTCTCGAACTCCTGACCACAAGTGATCTGCCCACCTCGGCCTGTCAAAGTACTGGGATTACAGGTGTGAGCCGCTGTGCCTGGCCCAAGTCTGTTTTTAACTGTGTAACTCAATTGTTGAAATGTTGATAGGAGAAAATGTAAACATAAACCCTCTTTTATGAAATTTAAAACTAAGAGGATACAATGCTTAGTTTTTTTTTAGAATGTTCTTTTGGTTACATAAAATTAAATGATTTATCTAAACCCACTATGGAATCACTGGTTAATACAACCTTATTCAGATTATATAAGTGGTAACATGGTAAAAAGAGCCTGGGTGAAGGAATTTGGTGTGTTTCTATTCAGGTTTGAAACCTAGTCCTATATTTTCTCACCATGTGAATTTTAAAAAATCATTGAAGGCTGGGCACAGTGGCTCATGCCTGTAATCCCAGCACTTTGGGAGGCTGAGGCAGGAGGATAGCTCTAGTCCAAGTGTTCAAGACCAACCTGGGCAACATGGCGAGACCCTGTCTCTACAAAAATAATAATAATTATAATAACAATTTTCAAAAAGCATTTAAACTGCTGAACCTCTCTTTCTTCACCTCTAGACCACTCTCTCTACCCAGACATAGCTACAATTAGCATTTATTAATATGAAAACATTATATTAATAAATATAAATATTTAAGAATTTAATTATATTTAAATATTCTTTTGAAACATTCTTTATTCACTTAAAATGCATTGTAAATGTCTTCCAAATAATTGGCTCTTCTCCTACAAGATTCTACTTATTAACCACGCAAAATTCCTTTGAGTGGATATGCCCTATAATTTGTCTTACCATCTATTAATAGACATTTAGGTTGTTGCTTATGTATTTATTCATTGCTTTTATAGGTTATAGTATGATAAAATCCAAGTTATATATTGATTTTCTTTTCATAAAACATTGAACTGCTTAGTTAACTGGAATGTAAATTTACAAGAGAAGAGGTATCTATCTCTTTTT